AAATGCCGTTATTTGTGTATTTAATGTGTCAGTTTTAGAGAGGAGAGCCGAGGCGTGCGGGGCGTTTGAAGGCATGTGACATCATAGGAGCTGTGTGAAACTCACAACACAAGTGCAGAAAGCGTCCAGTGGGATGTGAAGTGGATGTGATGTTTCATATGAAGGTACAAGAGTAATGAAATGTGACTCTTTTTGGAATTTGCGGGAATTGAATTTGAATTTAAAATTAAGTATTTTGGCAGTTTATTTGATTTCTATAATTTTACTTTCAGTTTATTTTCTATACATTTTTTACTATATTTTTCCATAAATTAGTAGAAAATTATAGAAATATATATATATATATATAATAAAAAAAAATATATATATAATTTTTATTTGTTTATTTTCCGTAATTCCTTTTTTAATTTTTTTTTTTACTTACTTTCAATAGTATGTCAACAAGTCTTTCTCTTTACTGAAAATCACAACAACAATAACAACAAAATTCTAATAAAAACAATTCATTACTGCCCGGTAAGTTATGTCAACAAAATATTCAGTTCCGTCAACAAATATTTATGTAGTATTAACACTAAATAATTTAATTTAACTTAAATTTGATGAATTTAAGTGTATTGAACATAATCAAATTAAGCTGTGTCAAAATGTGACGCTTTTAGTTCATTTGAACAAACAGCAAACGTTGCTTTATGAAAATGCTTTATGAAAGCTCCTCAGTGCTCCTCCGCAGTGGGCTGGAGTTCTGGTGACTGGAATGAAAGTCTGTTAGAGAAAAGTTTTGGCTTGATGGTTTCAGGACATTATATTGTGTTAGTTTCTTCCTCTTGCTCTCTTCAGCCCTTGACTCCCAATTCTGTATGACCTGTCTGAACACACACATACAGAATGAAAATCAACAGTTTGGTCATGGCCTCTAGCTTTGCCCTGTCACCATTCACTGTTTATACTTTAATGAGATCCTTTAATAATTTGTTTCTCAGTGGTTTTACAGAGACAAACACAGCGATATCACAACAATAGAGATCATTCTCACAAGACTAAGAATGCATGTGAAGTTCTGTGTCCTGATGTCAGTTACCACAAAAGAAAAAAAATTGCAGCTGTTCCTCAGATTTTTATTTATTTATTTTTTACAGTAACCCATATATAAGTTACAATTTAGCATTCCATCACTTGCTCATCAATGGATGCTCTGCAGTGAATGGGTGCCGTCAGAATGAGAGTCCAACCAGCTGATAAAAACATCACAATAATCCACAAGTAATCCACACCACTCCAGTCCATCAGTTAACATCTGGAGAAGACAAAAGCTGCATGTTTGTAAGAAACGAATCCAGCGGTGAGGCATTTTAACCTTGAGTCCATAATGCATAATATCACTTCCTCCAGTGAAAAAGTCCCTGTTGTCCTTTTCATCAAAAATCCATCTACATTTTTGTAAATCGCACTTGGTCTGTGCATATTTCTCTCCAGATTCATACAAGATGACTTTTTCACTGGAGAAAGTGATATTATGGATTATGGACTCATAGTTTAGCCGGAAGCAACAGTTTAAAGTCTTGATGGATTTTTAATAGAAAACAATTGGTATTACTTTAATTAATTATATATGTACTTATAATTTATTGCAAGTTGTAAAACAGTTTGTTTTTCTTTCTTTTATTTATCATCGTCTTAAAAAAACTTTTTGAACTAAAGGCTTCTTAAACATGTGGAATTAGATTTGAAGACCAGGGTTATTTTAGTTAATTAAAACTAAAAGCATAAAAAATGTGTTTGCTGAAATGAAATATTAAAAATAAATACACTCATTATAGCTATTTGCTAAAGCAACATTTCTCTTTTTTATCATTTAGTTGAAAAAGAGAACTTGTATAAATTAGATGTATAAATTTAACTAAAACTGAAACATATATTAATAAAAACTATATAGTCAAATATTAAAAAACAAAAGCTAGTAAAAGCTAACTCCACAAAAACTTGTGGAAAAAAAAAAAAATAAATAAAAACATTTAAACAAAAAAAGATAACTCTGCTTATTCATGAATTTCTTTACAAAATGAAAAATAATTCCGGTTTTACGCAACAGATAAACCTATCTTACGCAACCTAGTATTATAAGATTTTAAAGTTTTGATTTTTGTGTTTTTAATTTTTGTTAACATTTTTGTAATTTTGCTGTGTTGTGCTTTTGTAATTTTATTTTATATTTTGTTTTTAGTTTTTAAACAATATGTCTATAATAATAATAATATAATTATTTAAAAATTACAAATTATTATTTATTTCACGTAACATGGTTTAAGCATTTATGTTTTTGGTTTTAATAGCTATAACAACCCTGATTCATACCTAAAATAAAATGTATTATAAATAATAGTAATAATAATAATACACTGAGTTTTTTCTTCCATTTCTAAGGAAATTAGTTTGAAAAGCTTAGAATTGTAAAAATATTACAAATGCAATTGGGATACTGGAACTAGTCAATTTCACAATAGTTTTCTGGTCTTACACCATATGTTGTGTGTATGATGGGTTATTCATTCCTAAAATAAAATTTGTCTTGAATAATAACATTTGACTTTGGTCAGGATGCTTGGGGAAAAAAAACTTTCTTGCATCATGATATTTCGAGTTTTTCTGAGAAACCGTTCACTTGTATCTTTTATTATGTGATGATATAACTTGCAAAGAAACTGAAAAGTAAGGAAAGCATGAATTATTATATATATATTTTTAAATCACAAACAAATGTTTCTTTTTAATTATTCCAAATGTTGTTGTTTTTTCTTTTCTTTTTTTTACATATAAGGCCATTACAACAGAAATGTATATAGAGAAACTTGATGCATCTGGCCATGTTAAATATGTGCTTTTTTTATTCAAACTGATACAGTGATGTACAAAGAGGCCAGTCATAATTATGAATATAATGGTACTGAGAGATATTTGCACTGAACATTAGCTCTGCTGCTTTTAGGTTTAAATGGAATCAAACCAAAGCCCATGCATTAGCTATGCTGCTTTATTCTGAAGTCCATGATAAATGTAGGGTAAGCTTCCAGCAGTGTTCTGCAATTTCGTCCTGAAATCCAGGTAACAGGCAAACAAATTTAAGATTCACTACAGAATCCCGAAATAAATCAACTGTCAGCTCAATGCCATGACACCCGTTTTAAATTCATAGACACAATGTAAATCTGAATGTAAATTTGGCTGTCGTCAGAGGTTCCACACTTTTTTTATTTATGCAAATGGTTTAAGTAACCTTCCATTTTACAAATTTAAGTGAATTGCATAAGTTGCTCAAGAACTGTTGCTTTTGCTCATTTTAATTAAGAAAGCAGCAAAAATAATTTCTGAATGAATCAAATGCTTGCTTTCTCTCTCAGTAGCTGTTGCATCTGTGCATCATTATACTGCATGTCACCGATTATTAAAATTAGTAAGTGAAAGCATACACTTCAAAACGTGGCAACCTGCAATTGCCAATGTATGGTCCTCACTGCAGAACACAAGATCCAGGGGGCGTGGTTGGATCCAGATCCAACTCCTTCCACCTTACATATACCTAAACCTCCACCCCCTGATCCCTAAACCCACCCATCTCAACCCCGAAGATGTGGATCCAACCACGCCCCCTGGATCTTGTGTTCTGCAGTGAGGGGGTACTGGCTTAAAGAGACATTTTTACTTGATTTAACCCATGATAAATAATGTTTAACAGCTCATTTGGATGTTACCATTTTTTCAGTGTAAGTGTAGACTGGTGTCTAGTTCTTATTATCAGAATTAAATATGGTTATTTAAATGTTTTATTTAAAAATAAAAAATTGTGTATATTTAAATTTAAATATTGTGATGGAACAGCTGAGGGAAACTCCAGTTTCCCTCAGTTTTGTTCCCTCTGTCATTTGAACCAAAAGGAAAAATCAACAAAAATGAAGGATTTGCCTTGAAACATTTTTATTTACACAGAGCCATATACAATTCAGCAAAGATTCAGAAGTAGATTCATATGTGAGAGAAACACGCCTAAAAGGTTTTTTTACTCCTTACTTGAAAATGACACATTGCTTTGAAGCTCCATCAGAAAGACAGTGTTCTTGATGATTGTGTTTGGACGGCACTCAGCAGCATTTGTTCAGAGATGATAAAAGGACTGAACTATACAAAGGGTTCATGGACAGTTTAGTAAACTCTTTCTCTCCACATGGCTTTTTTTTTTCTCCGAAGGTCCGCAAAGTTCATTCAATATTTTTCTTTTCTTTTTCCCCCAGCACGAGAGAAGAAACTCAGACTCATCGAGCGAGTTATAGTCCTGAAGCTCAGCTTTTAGATACACTGCGTATCTATATGGAGAGGTTGGTTGTTTGAGATGTTTGGGATGGTCTGAACAGCAGATGTTTCCATGCAAAAGAATCAACTATTATCTCATAACAACACATTAGCAGTCAGGAGTTTGGACACACCTTCTAATTTCTTATGATAACTATTATCAACATTTTACAATAATGAACCCTTTTCACATTTTCTGTGCTCTCAGCAAAAGATGTCAACATAGTTGGCTCAAACAGTGATGTGACACAGAGTATAGTATTATAAATGTACTAAATTGGATTTAGGATTATAACAATTGTGGAAATGTGCCGTCTGTGAAAAGGGTCCATAAAAAACTGTGAAAGTACAAACTGAGGTATGAAATTATGTACTGAATAACGAACATGTATAATGAACACTTGTTGGTGCTTTTACATCAATATCTGCTTCAATTCACCCATTTAACAAAAGTAGGCCTAAATAAACAAATAAATAATAGTCATGTTTAGTCATTTTTTGTTTCACAATTACAAAATGTAAGAATTTCCTTAAACTTGTATGGGAAAACATATAATAAATAAATAAATACAAAAACTATTAAGTATACTGTAAAATTTGTGTAATTTTCACTCAAACATTAATACTAAATTTCACAAATTATAAAGAAACGCCAGGTAATTAAACGTGACATTTTGCAATTAAAAGACTGAAATTGTGTAAAACATACTCCAATAATCTAAACAGAAGTATGGGAATTATATATTGAGGAATGAACATATAGACACTTGCACATGCTTTTACTTTACTGTCAGCTTCAGTTCACCCATTAAACAAAAATAAATAGGCTAACTACATTTAAACAAACAAGCAAACAAATATTTTAAGGGAAAAAAGCCTTCAGCTGTTTAAGAAATATTTCCTTAAACTTATATGAAAAAAAATTATATCAAGAAAAAAACACGTCTTGAGGGTTTTGAGATCTTGAGAAACCCGAAAAAAATATGTGTCCAGTATTCGACTAGTATCATTCATGTTTTATACGCATCAATGCAATGCTATTTCATATCAGCAATGTCTGATATTTGCAAGTCCACGTTGCAGAGGTATACAAAGATGCATTCGAAAGTTCAAACGAGTCTCAGTGACTTTTTTCCTCGTTGGTAACATCACATCCCGATCTCCATCTGCACCACGGACACTCCAGGCGGAGCCTCCGCCACCTTCTTCCCCCGGTACACCAGCTTGGCCAGGTTCCGGATGGACGGAGTGGCTCTAAACAGCAGTTTCTTGAGGCCGGTCCGGTACTCCTGGCGGATCAGACAGTATAGCACCGGGTTCAGGCAGCTGTTGGTGTGCGCCAGGCACACAGTGATGGGGAACGCGTAGGCCTGCGCGTTGTAAAACGCGTTACTGAATGGCACCAGGTCAAATTTGATGAGCACCCCCCAAAGGGTCAGTGCTTGGTTGGGCAGCCAGCACAGAAAGAACGATAGAACCACGATGGTGACCGATCTGGTGACTTTGGAACGGCGCTTGTGCCGCCCTCTCTCGCTGTCCGAGCCGGGAATTCCACTGACGCGCCGCCGCAGAACGAAGCGCAGCAGGAGGAGGTAACAAACGCAGATGATGACCAGCGGAATCACAAAGCCCAGAAGTACCTTCTGGGTTTGATAGAGACCCAGAAGCAGCTGCGGGTCCCAGTTACCGGAATCCGAGAAGCGGACGAGGCACAGCTCGTCGTCGGACACCTGCGCCGTGGTGGAGTAAACCGCGTGAGGAATGGTGGCCACCACGGACACGATCCAGATTCCCAAACTGGCCCACTTGACCTCAGCCGAGGCCGTTTTGGGACTTTGCATCCGCAGGGATGAGGACAGGGAGCAGTAGCGCGCAACGCTCATGGCTGTCAAGAAGAACACGCTCGCGTACATGTTCATGGTGGTGACCGAGCTGATAATCTTGCACATCACCTTTCCAAACGGCCATCTGAAATCCAAAACGGTGTCCACTGCCCAGAACGGAAGAGTCAGGACGAACTGCAGGTCCGTCACGGCTAAACTCATGACGAAGCAGTTGATGGACGACTGCTTGAGTCTGTGGCTCGACTGGAGCAGGTAAAGCGCCAGCAGGTTCCCGACGAGCCCCAGCGCGCACACGATCAGGTAGACGAGCGCAATCACGACGCGCATGGCCACGCTCGAGCTGTCGCCGTAGAGCTCCGGCGCGTACTCTTTAGAGAGCAGCTGCAGCCAGCAGTGGAGCGACAGGTTGTGGAGAGCGGTCCGGTTCGACAGCGCATCGCCCTCGTCCAGTGCCGGACCGCACGCCGCTAAACTCGGTGCCAACGCGCTGCTGTTCACCTGCATGGCACGGCTTTACGCACCCATACAATTTCAATCAGATTCTATGTGCTACACAAATGTTTTCCTAAAAGTCATCCTACATGTGCAGCATGCGATCCTTATGCGCGTAAACTATTTATTCCCAGATTCAAATACGGTTGCTGCGTGAATCTGTGCCACTCCTCTCTCCTCTGACTCTCCGCACCTGAATGAGCTCGTGGAGCATCACCGGGCTTTATATAGGAGAGACTACTGCTGTCACATGGTGAAGTTTTCACTTGCCATTGAAAAAATATCTTAAATGTAGCTTATTTTTACTTAACCTGGAAAAAGCTAATAGACATTTGGATAAAAACACCTGCTAAATGTATAAATGTAGCCTAGGCTACATTCCACAAAACTGAAATTCCACAAATACATAGGCCTACTCTATAAATGTGTAGTGTATTTATAAACAACACCTCTATGAACTGGTTTTATTTAAAAAAAATAATAATAATTTATATATATATATATATATGCAGAGAAAAAAATTATTCTCTCATGCATGTGATTGTCATTAAATTATCACATACTGATTATAATTATTATTATAATTATATTGTTTCTTTAATGCTACACTGTTATATTACTTTTGTCCCTCTAGCGGTTGAAGCAATTACAACTAACCTGCGGAGGAACATTGTTTTGGTCATTACGTGAGTTGTGCTTCGTCTCCGCTATTCTGCGAGGATGAATCTAATGGCTCGAGGTGGATGATCGCATTCAGTATGGATGTCATTAACGACATCAAAACTCTCCAGAGAAAGACGGATATCTGGAAAATATGCCTTATGAGCAGGTAAGCAGTTGATATACCTTTTTTGCTTTGACTTGTTGAAATCAATTGTTTTAAAATTACGTTACAAAAGTTTGGTAACACCATATGGTTGCTATTAATGTCAGATAACCCTGGAAACAATAATTGTCAAAGCTATTTATAGTCAAATAGACCAAAATTTTAACTGGATTAGGAACTGGCATTGTTACCAACATAAAAGTTGTTTTGCGAATCTCCTCAATGCATAGCAAATGCTCTGCATTTTATTTACGGATATATCGTAAACAGGAACGATGAAAGTATGTTGTTTCTTTAAATGCTGTCTTACATATTAAAGGGGTCATATGATGCTTTTTTAAAGATCATTATTTTGTGTATTTGGTGTAACAGAATATGCTGACATGCTTTAATGTTCAAAACACACATTATTTTTCAAATACTGTACATTATTGTAGGTCCTCTATGCCCCGCCTCTCTCAAATGCTTCGTTTTCTACAAAGTCCCTCCTTCCGACAAGCGCAGCCTGCTCTGATTGGCCAGCTGACCCAGTGCATTGTGATTGGGCGAACACAGCAAGCACTCGTCGGAAATGTAACGCCCCTTACCATAATCGCGAGCTTCATCTTTCAAAATAAATGTAAAGACAGTAAATAATGTCATTAGTTTTACCATCAGTTCAAGCCCGAAAGGGGAACAGAGTCACGTGACAGACACAGTAATGAAGCTAGTATGTGTGCAGTACACAAGACTGCTGACACCACTGTGATCTGTTTCTCTCTCTCTCTCACGCGCGCGCGCGCGCACACACACACACACACACACACACACACACAATGCGCAAAACTCCGCATTTGAACAGTCAATAGCAAATACTTAAACTAATAACAAAACAGTAGCTGATTCAGAAGCGCCAGATTGTCATAGCAAAGTCAGAATTACCTCCTCTCCTAGGTTCACAAAACGGTCGTCCATAAAATGCATTGCTGTTCTGTTGTAAGTAATCTTAAAGATTCCTAAATAAATCTACTTTCGGAAGGCCAAATAAAGTGCTTTTGCTTTCGCCTAGAAACACACAGCGTCTCCCTGACATGCTGCTTCAACACTAACTGCGGTTACTGAAACCACGCCTTCTTTCTTTGTGTGCACATTTGCTAATATTTCCACATAGTGAGGTAGATATGTGGGGGCGTGTTAGAACGAGCCGTTTTAGGGGGGCGTGGCAGAGTCTTAACTTTGATAAAGAATATCTCTTTGGTTTTGAGACTTTAGTCTTTGCAACTTCAGGGATCTTATCTATGCACAATCAGCTTGTAACACTCCAAAGAGAAAGGAAAACTTGAAATCGCATCATATGACCCCTTTAAGATTGCTCTTCTTTCTTGCTTATGTGGACTTACGAGCCCGCAGCCATATCACCCTGTAGCCCAAGACTGGTTGTCCACTGAAGCTAAGCAGGGCTGAGCCTGGTCAGTACTTGGATGCATGGAGACCTCCTGGGAAAACTAGGTTGCTGCTGGAAGAGGTGCTAGTGAGGCCAGCAGGGGATGCTCACCCTGTGGTCTGTGTGGGTCCTAACACCCCAGTATAGTGACGGGGACACTATACTGTCAACAAGCACCGTCCTTCGGATGAGACGTTAAACCAAGGTACTGACACTCTGTGGTCATTAAAAATCCCAGGATGTCTTTCGAAAAGAGTAGAGGTGTGACCTTGGCATCCTGGCTGAATTTGCCCATTGGCCTCTGATCATCATGGCCTCCTAACAATCCCCATATCTACTGATTGGCTTCATCACTCTGTCTCCTCTCCACCAATATGACACTCTATTTACGTTGTTAATTTAGATATTTTTATACAATTGTGATATCACAGTTTCCCCCACCAAAACAATGATGCTGTCATGAATGGGCTTATTTTTAATTGCTGTGAAGATAAATTGATTAATTGCTGTGAAGATAAATTGATTATCTTTTAAGATAATATTCTTAAGACAACAAGTTTATTAGAGAAAAGAATGCAAATTAAAAAGTGCCTGAAATATTTCTGTTAGTGAAGCAGAAGAAAAAGTTTTAAATCTTAACTGTAATAAAAGCAAACTAATACGTATGATTTCCATCTTTAGCTAACTTGAACTTTAAAACATTCTATTCCTCTGAGAAGTTTTTTTTTTGCTGGCCATCAGCATTTGCATGTAAAAATGGGTCAGTATTTAGACTTCACAGGGCGTTAAAGAGAGAGATCAGAGCAGGCACTGATTCTCGCACACATTCAGCTGTTCTTTCTGTTCTCCTGCTCAACTCGGCTCTTTGAGGAAGGGTCTATAATCCAGAACACGCTACTCGCCCTGGGCTCTGAGAGACAGTGATTGATCATAGTAGAGTTAGAGGGTCAGTCGACTTTTCCTCAAGACGAGTGATGTGTTAATTGAGTTCATTCCAGGACAACTGGCTTCCACTGTACAGATTCTGAGATATTTAGTCGAGGATTATCTTCTCGAACATTTGGTCCAGATAAACACTACTGATGTGCGTAGACAACTAGTCAAAATATATTGAGGAATGTGAACAGGATCCTAATAAATTATCACTTTCAAAAGGATCCTAATGGGATCAAACAAGAATCCTCTAAGTATCAAATTGGAACTGGATAATTAATACTTTTAAAAGTTATTAATCAGTGGGCATTTTTATAATTCCAAAATATGAAAACTTATAATTTATAATATATATTATTGTATTATTATAAAATGTTGAAGGAGAAACATGTGGCGCACAAATGAGCCAAAACCTCCAAGATTTAGATTAGTTTGTTTTTTCATAGCATTGCATCACTTGCTCACCAATGGATGCTCTGCAGTGAATGGGTGCCGTCAGAATGAGAGTCCAAACAGCTGATAAAAACATCACAATAATCCACAAGTAATCCACACACTTTTGTGAAGTGAAATGATGGGCGTTTGTAAAAAACAAATCCATCATTAAAAGTTTTCCTTTTTAATTAATTTATTTTTACTTCAAACTGTCACTAATACTACTCCATAATGTTGCTTTCTTCAGTAAAAAAAAAAAAAGTAATCTTGCCTGAATCAGGAGAGAAATTTGCCCAGATCTAACACGTTTACATGTGAAAACTGTCCAAAAACAGTATTTTGACTTGGATTTTGTTGTGAGAGGACAACGGGGGTGGACTTTTTCACTGGATTATGAACTTGTATTTTGGCTGAAAGTGTACTAGACCTATATTTGCATTTGAGTTTTAAATTCCTGAAAGACTTGTGCATGATTTTAAACTAGGAGCTGTTATTTGGAGAGACTGTGCGTTTGGTTATTTGTGTCTGATATGAAATGAGATTGCATACTTCTACCGATGAAAAGATGAATTAATAACTTCTAAAGATGGAAACCTTTGTATTATAACTTTTTACTAAATAAACAGACCTCTAAAACTTTTGCTATATATATATATAAAAAAAATATATATATATATACATACAGTGGGTACGGAAAGTATTCAGACCCCCTTAAATCTTTCACTCTTTGTTATATTGCAGCCATTTGCTAAAATCATTTAAGTTAATTTTTTTCCCTCATTAATGTACACACAGCACCCCTAAATGTATCAATCATAAGCTTTTCAAATTAATCTCAAAGAAACTTCCCACGCAACACCCACACAAGTGACACCTGAGGTCATTTATTTACAACTGGACATGTCATTCAAGTCAGAGTATTATCTAAAAATACAAAGCAATAGGAAATAAATACATTCAGTTGAATTCGTTCAAGGTTTTACCATAATGTTGTATAATTTTGTAATTTTTGTAATTGTATAATCTTGGAAAATACAGTTTCACATACTAATTTTTTGTTTACCAATTTATCAGTAATATTCTAAAGACTCAATGCTTCAATCATGCAGTTTGTAATGTAAAAATATACCCATTAAGAAATAGAACAAAAACCCAAAGGAGGGCTGTGCAGTGAGAAAACCAAGCTGCTCATTCTGTCCAAAGTTGTGCTGTATTTCCTGGAGCCGCACACAGCAGACCGTGTGCCAGCGGTGGCCTGTGGTGCAGTTTTGATGCAAAAGCGAGTGAAACAGGTAATTGTTATTCCTCGCCACACCTCCTTATCCTCTAAAGCACACCGACATCAGTAACTGCACCTAAGACTCTGGTGCATGTTGGAGCAGAAGGTGCTTTTTAACGAATGGAAAGCTGCACGTGCCCTTGACCACTCATGATGCGCTGATGAACGCTGAGGTCTCGAGATGTGCAATACTCCACGGGTCCAATTATACACATATTTGATGGTCAGGCAACAGCTGCCTGGAGGTTCATGGAGGTGGAGCGAGAGAGTGCAAACTACCACACTCACTGCAGAAGAAAATTGCAAACAAAAACTATAAATATTAAGGTAAAGTATTGCTGGTTATGAACTCACATTAACGAATGCCTGGATTTAATGCCCAGTTATAGGTTGGCACATTGCGCTCGTGCGGCTGCTTGATTCTGCACAAATGAGATGAGCGCTGCGCATCAATCCGAGTTGATCAAGCAGTCGAAGCGAAGCTGATCTTGGCACGGCGATCCGTACACCTCTTGGCAGGAGTGTCTGCTTTTGATGTGATGTGCCGTGTTAGGCCAATTCCCACCGATTAATCTCTTCCCCAAGAGCAGCGTTTAAAACACAGGTCAACATTTGACTTTGGTGCAAATTTGTGGATGCACATGCTTACTCACTGATGCATATTAAACAGAAAACACTTCCTCAGGCTAGTGGAACTGAATCTGATTGGCTAGTTTTACACAATTGAAACACTTAATCCACTTGGAAACAAAGTCATGAAATAGCTAACGTTTGCCAGGTTAGTTGCAACAAATCTTTGTATGAGTTTTTTAAACTTACTGTGAGCATCTGTGAAATATGTACATTTTCTTTACACATTTTAAACTCTTTTTAGTGTTTTCTGTATATCTTTTGAATAGGCTGCTGCATCATTATTTGAATTATCTATTTTCCCACTCAAGTCCGTTATTGTGATATATTGTGTTCAGACAAATCCACAACATTTTACACTATTTTATGTGTTTTCTGTACAACTTTTTGCATAGGCTGCTGCACCATAATGCAAATGATTTATTTTTCCATTTCAGTCTGTTATTGTGGTATAATCTCTTCAGACAAACCTGCAATATTTTACACTATTTGTAATATATGCATCATTATTTGCATTATTTATCTTTCCATTCCTGTCTATTATTGCAGTATAATCTATTAAGATGAACCCACAACTCAATGCCACATACAAGCAAAGCAAACCGTGGGTGGTTGGTCACTTCCTGTCGTGAGTGGATTTTTGGCCGGAATGAGCTGCTATGCCATAGTCAAATGTTTACAAATGTTGATGCAATGAATGCTTGAGGATGAAATAGTCACTAGATTTGCCAAAGTTAGCCAGCATGAAATCTTTGTTTTGCTTTTAATGTTATTCACAAGTAAACTTAAGTGTCTAAAGTATATATTTTTGCAACGGTTTTAAACTATTTGTGTGTGCGTGTGTTTTCTGGACAAATTTTTGCGTGCTGCTGCATCATTATTTGCAATTATTTTTCAATTCCAGTCTGTTATGGATGTATAATCTATTCAGATAAACCCGCAACTACATGCCAAGTAAAGGCAAAACAAACGTCTGTGTGTCAATCAGACGGTAACTTCCTGTCTGTGGGCGGTTTTTGTCCGGAATGAGCTGCTATGCCGTAGTCAAAGGTTTACAAATGTTGATGCAATGAATGCAATGAGTATGAAATAGTCACTAGATTTGTCTGGTTTGTTGCATGAAATCTTTGTACGACACTCTGAGTTTTAAAATACGTTATTCGTAAGTAAAGCATCTGTGAAATATGTACTTTTTCCACAACATGTTCCATTATATTTTGTGTTTTTTGTAAGTTTTTGCATGCTCTAGGCTGCTTCATCATCATTTGCATTATTTATTTTTCCATTCCAGTCTAATATGGTCTATTATTTAATTTGTTAAACCTGACAAACCCACAATTCAATGAAGGTAAAATCTAAACAAACAGAGGTCGGTTGCTTTGCATGTCAGTCAGACGGTAACTTCCTGTCTGTGGCCAGAATCAGTTGTGATGCCTTGGTCAAACGGCTGGTATAATGTCTGCCAATCCGTTACATCACTTCCTGTCTTTCTCATGATGCATTATCCACCTCAGTGTGGCAGCGTGGCCCGTGATGGGGTCGCCGTGGTGATGCTCATGGTCTCTGTAGCTGTGGTTGTGATGTAGAGGGTCCATGTCAGCGTACTCAGGCCTGAGCCGAAGCTTGCTGTGAGGGGACGAGGACACGTCCACATCCCTGTTGACTGAGTTGCCTGGCTGGATGCTGTAGACCTCCATCACTGAGCGCAGTGACCTGGACTGAACTGCAGGAGAGAGGGAAGAGTAAAACAGACTTCAGCCTCGGCACAGTGAGTCACTGCTGCATATTCAGTGTGTTCTGTCTCCGGGCTCCGGCACTTTTTAGAGTCAAACATTCACATGCCGTGTCATCGGTCAAGTTTGTATTTGTATGTGCATAGTATTAAACACTTGCAGAAGAGCAGCTCCATCATACATAAAACATTCTAGCTTTAAGAAAAGGAACAGTGTGAACCATTATAAATGACTGGCTGTGTTCTTTTAGGTTTTTTTGTGTCATCATTTATTCAGCCTTCAGGGTCAGAACAACATGAGGGTGAGTAAAGATTTTCGGGTGAAAGTTCTTCAATTGTACTTTCTAGGTTCTAGGAATAATGATCTTATCAAGACCTGTTTTTTGGCTGTAATGTGTTCTTGATGGAATGATAGGTTCTTCAGATCAGAGTTTTGAATTCTGGGTTTTAATGTCTTGCATGACATGGGCCCCCAAATATGATGAACCTCTTGCTAAAATATGAAGGCAGCTATATATATATATATATATATATATATATACACACACTCTAAAAAATGCTGGTTTAAATATAACCCAGCACTGGGTTGAAAAGGGACAAACCCAGCTATTGGGTTGTTTTGAATCAAAACAACCCAACCGCTGGGTCAAAACAACCCAACCCAACCCAAACAACGAGATGTAAACATCCTTTATGTGCGAACACGTACCAATTAAGTATTCTTGATCTTGACATCTGCATGTGCTTTGATATTATTACAGGATGGAATTATGGGAGACAGGTATGTAATCAAATATTGGAAAGTTGTTACATCATTGTGATCATCAGGTGGGCTCCCTCTTTCATTGATGTTTTGTTGATGAGCCCAAGACATCTCCAGAGGGGGCTCATCAACGATTATATATATATATATATATATATATTACTCTACAGTAGGTATGTTTTACTTAATTATTATGTATACCATTTAGAAGTTTGGGTTTGGTGAGATTTTTTTTAATGTTTTTGAAACATCTTGTTCTCTATTTCTCACCAAGGCTGAATTTGTTTGACCAAAACTGCAGTAAAAATTAAAAAATATTTGTAAAATTTAATATAACTGTGTTCTATTTAAATATATTTTAAATGTAATTTATTCCTGTGATCAAAGCTGTATTTTCAGCATCATTACTCCAGTCTTCAGTGTCACATGATCCTTCAGAAATCATTCTAATATACTGATTTGCTGCTCAATAAACATTTCTGATTATTATATATTTCAGGGTGAATAGAAAGTTTAAAAGAACTGCATTTATTTAAATAGAAATCTTTTGTTACATTATAAATGCCTCTACTGTCACTTTTGATCAATTTAATGCATCTTTGCTTTAAATCAAATTTTTTATTTCTTTAAAAACTCTAAACTCTAAAAAAAAGAACAGTAGTGTACATTAGTAAATTATAATTATTGTTTCCTCTGGTATATTTTTCATTCACTTTCAGTGCGTTTGCATTTCTTTCAGAGGAGTACGTGAAGAGCAAAGCTCAAAACATTTGGAAGAAATATCTTAAAAGATCCTTTAATAAAATATTAATTTAATAAAGCATTTTTATTTAATTTTGTAAAGAAACATTTATATATTAAATCACTATATTATTTAATTACTAACTCTTTACATATATATATATATATATATATATATTACAAAAATAAATATAATGCAATAATATACAAAAATTATATTAAATATAAATTTTAATATAATTAATATATTATATTTAAATTAAATATAAAGTTTATTTTTAAATACAATTATTTTAGATATAATTATTTTAAATTAAATCTTTATATTTAAATTAAATATTAATTATATATAATAATACAATGTATTACATTTATATTATTTATATTTTCAAAATTAATATTAATAATAATCATATGTTTTATTAAATTATCTGGAAATGTTTTACTTTGTATTAATCTGAATTTATCATTCTTTTATAAAACTGAAGAGATTTTTTTTTCCATTCAATTTAAATGTATTTGTATAGTTCAAAGTAAAAAAAAAAAATTCTAAAGCAGTTAATTTCCAGTCATTGTGTAAAATGTGTAAAAAATAAAATGAATAAATAAAAATAATAATTTTGGTCACATTTTCCAGTGACCCATTTAAACCTTTTTTAAGACATTGTTAAGCTCTTTATGGAAGGTGGCAATGAGATCAATCACTGATGTAATCAGTTGTAATAAAGAAGAAGAAAAGAGTGACTTAATTAAGTAATGCTGACGACACCACTGAAATCTCTCTCTTCTCTGGCTTATGTGTCACCGACCATTTACTTTCCTCCTTTTGCTACCTCTTCTGGAAATGTTCAGTGTTCATGTTTGAAGCTTGACTTTGATTGTGCTTCAGTTGTAAAAATGCCTGGAGCGGATTCCTTCAAAGCATAGAGCTTCCTTTCTTCCTTCCTTCCTTAATTTCTTTCCCTTTCTTAGGCTCCTCCTCCTGCGCTGTCATCTTACCAGGATGCAGGTTCCCGTCTGAGCCGGTTTACTGGAGCCATTCATCACCAGAGACTGCAGCCAGCGTAACTGCTCCATCAGAGACCTGGCAGATAGATGGAGAGAGTGCTTGCCACGTTAGAGGAAGCGGTAATGGAACTTCCATTTGATGTGAACTTTGGAGTAAAGTGCCGAGTTGTGCTTTAAAAAGAAATCGCTTCATCTAAGGACAAATATGCAGGGAGTGGAAGGATTTCACAATGCTGCAGAGTGTTTTGAAAATGTCAGGATGTTAAAATAAGTTTTGAAGTCGAGTCCATCAAGACAGATGCTTCTGCTAATCAATATATTCAAATACTCTCAATTTGAAGCCAGTCCTAAAAGGATCAAGCAAGAATCCTCAAATAAGATTCTACTGAAATTCTGAATAAATTCTGATTGATAAATAAATATATATATATAAACATAAATAAATAAATTGTAATAAAAAACTCTCTTATGCAATATCTTTATTTTATTGTTAGAAAATTCTTGTTTAATTAAATGTGGATTTATATAAAATTATGATGAGTTTTTTTTTTAAAAGGGACTGAACACATTTTCCATTTTGAATACGGAGTAAAATTCAGATGTATTACTAGTTAGTGAAGCAAGGTATCATGGTCACGTTTAAAGCTACACTATGCAACGGTTGAATGTGGAGGAACAATTGTTTTGGTCATTACGTCAGTTGTGCTGTGGCTCTGCTATTCTGCGCGGATGAGTCTGATGGTTTGAGGCGTATGATCGCGTACATATAATATAACTTTGTAAGACTATTTATAGGCAACTAAACCAATGCATTAACTTATAGAGATTAGCATTGTTACCAACATAAACGTTAGTTTGTGAACCTAGTCCATACAACAAATGATGGTTGGCAAATGCAAATCTTGATTCGTGTTTTATTACAAGTGTCGATTTCCCTTTTTTTTCTTTCAAACAGTTTTCAATTCAAATTTTAGTTGTGGCTTCAAGCTTCTCCCCCTGCATATAGTTGTAGTTGGACCTTCTTTCCTTTATTTATGGATATGACATAAACACTCATGGACGAATGATGAAAGTACAGTTTCCCATTAAATATGTCCCGACAACTGTTAAATATGAATAATTATTATAGGCTTATCATAGTGATTTGGGGTAAGGCAAAAACACGGTTTGGGAGATGGTTTTATGATTTATGAAGTTGTATTAATTTAAAAAATAAATAAAATTGGTGTAGCTTAGAAAAAACTAAAAAACTAAAAGAGCCATAAGCCATGATGTAAATTGTTATGCAAATCTTCCCACATAGTGACGTAGACATGTGGGGGCGTGTTAGAACGAGCCGTTTTAGGTAGGCGTGGTTGACTCTTAACTTTTATAAAGAATATCTCTTTGGATTTGAGACTTTAGTCTTTGCAACTTTACAGATCTTCGTTATGCACCAAGAGCTTGTAACACTTCAAAGAGAAAGGAAAAATTGATATCACATCATATGACCGCTTTAATGCATAGAAAATCATGGTTTATTGCTCTATTTTAGGCTTTGTTTTCACTAAAATTCTCCTTTAAATTTAATAGCTGATTTTATAGCATGTTAAATAGACTATAAAATAACCAGTAAAAGATTGAAAGAAGAGACGTTTCGTAAATGAATCTCATAATGGAATGTGATTTGATGAGGGTCAGGTTTATAGCACAGTTAAAAAGCTAGTTTACATCAGCAGGTTATAAACCTACATATTTGACAATAGTGGATCTCAACTGGTGTGTCACATTGTAACTGTCCATGGTTTGTTTCTTGAAAGATTTATTTATTTTATATTCATAAACGCATATTATTTGAGCTCATTTATTCTATGCATAAAAAGTTATTAAAATGTTAATATGAGATAATATATATGATATAAAAATGTGATAAAGATGATCTCACACACAGCAGGGGAAAGCAATATTAAATGCAAATGATAATATGCAACTAACTATATAATCTTGCATAGTTCTAATACCAAAATAAATTGCTTTATAAAGGGAGGAGAAGAAGCTTCCTATATTTTTTGTTCCCCAAAATTAGGCAGATGCCAGAAAGATTGTGCGACATGACCTCATCCCTGAAAACTGCAAGGGGGGGGGGGGGGTTTTTACTTTATTTTTAAGGACATTTTAGTTTTCTTTTTTTCATTAAGCAGTTTCAGTACTGGGTTGGTCAAC